GGAGCGTGACGGACGGCTGGGACGACCAATAGGAGAGCGGAAGAGGTTTCGCCGCGCGTTTCTCATTCATTGCTCGCAATCACCGCCTCGGGGCCACGAGAAGAGAAACTACGATTCCTCCCTTACGAAATAAAACCCAAAAAATGTTTTATTTTATTAAAGGAAACGCGCAATTATAAAAAGAAAGCCATCAATCCTTCAGCAGCTCTATGGTTGGTAAGGAACAGCGCGGCACGCGCAGAGGCGACGCTCCAGAGCTCAATCCTGCTCAGTCCTCCTACATCTCTATGGTCATAAGTCAGCTCCAGCTGATTGTAAAGACTGCCAGACCTCCACCGTCTCTATGGCCAAAGGTTGGCCATGTCTCTATGGTTGCGAGTCCTCCATCTCTATGGTATCAAGTCCTCCACCGTCTCTATGGCCAAAGGTTGGCCACGTCTCTATGGTTGCGAGTCCTCCATCTCTATGGTACCAAGTCCTCCACCGACTCTATGGTCACAAGTCCTCCCTGCCATAGACACTACAACCCCTCCAGCAGCTCTACGGTCAGGTCAGTCCTCCAGGAACCCCACAATCTCTATGATCACAGCGACATTTCTCCAACAGGAAACCGCAGCAACAAAGAAGCACAGAGCTCCAATCAATCCCAGCGTTGCTCCAGACGCTCTATCCCCTCACCGCTCCTCTCTGCGGCCCTCAGTCCTCCAGCAGCTTTCCCAGCATCCCCCTGGGCGCCGCCCACAGCTGCTCCCATTGGCTGCGGCTGCGCAGGAACAGCTCCAGGTGGAGGCGATGCTCAACATGGCGCCCGTGGGGATCCCTGAGCAGCGCCCGGCGCTGTGGGGCTGCAACGCAGGGGGCAGAGCTCAGCTTTTATCAAGGCCCTTTCCATCGACACAAAGGGGAATTCGGGCCCCTTCTGGGGTCGCTCACCCAGCTCGGAGGCGACGGCGGCTCGTGTGGGGTTGGAGCAGGAAGCCAAGATGGCGTCCAGGACGCGGCTGCCATTGCGGTGACAGGCCAGCGACAGGAAGTGGCCCTGTGACGTCACGCAAAGGGGGCGGGGCTTCAAACACAAGCTCCACCCCCCTGGGTTGACTCACGGAGGGGGGCGGGGCTCCAATGAAGCTCCGCCCCCCTCCCATAGGATTTCTAAGCATTACAACAGCACCTGAAAACAGGAGATTTCACCCCAAAATCGGGTCTTACCTTCAGCCTACGGACGAGGCGACGCCGGGCACGGGGGGGCACGGAGGGGCTGCTCATAATGGAGTCCCAAACATGGCTGCCGGGGGGGCTGAGGGCCAATGAGTGCAGGTGGGTGTCAGAAAGCGCCCGAAGCCCCCCCAAAACTGCAGAGGGATCCCGGAAGTGAAGGAGGAGCTGAAGGAGACGGGAACCGGAAGGAGCGACGGCACCGAGGGCGGGCTGCGAGGAAACGGGGGGCGACGGCGTCACAGTGATGCACCATAATAAAGGAAAAAGAAACCAATTCAGCGAAACAACGCCATTTTGGGGGCAAAAAATGCAACTTAAGGGTGAAAGAAGGCGTTTTTCACCTGTGGCTCCTCCCCTTCCAGGGGCTGCAGGGCCAACAAAGCCCCCACGCAGCAGCGGCGCCGCTGGGGGGGCTCCCAGCAACGGAACGCCTGAGAGAAAACGGGGAGGGGGCTTTCAGGTTGGGGCCTGTGCCTTTAAGAGGAGGCGTGGCTTAAGGAGGGAAAGGGGGCGTGGCTTACCTGGAAGAGGCAGCGCAGCGCCCCCTGCTGGAGCTCTTTATATTGCAGGCAGGCGCCCATTAAAGCCACCGCAACCCCGTGGTGACCCCGGGCCAGGGGCTGCCCCATGGAGGGGCCCAACTCCTCCAGCACAGCCCCCACCTTGGGGGGGGGGGGGGGGG